TGTGATACTAAACTTTTACTAATGTCTACAGAAATTATTTGATCCTGCTCTGTGATTAAAGCCACATATTTTTTTCTTATAATTCGCAATGCCACCAAATGTACTTTCTTCTTTCATTGGACATTAATTTACTTTTACATGGTGGTTAACCAACCTTCAAACCAATTTGATGAAAGATATATTTTAAAGGATAATAAAAAATAGATCTTTAAAATATCTTCAAGTTAAAACCTTTAAGTTTTCATAAAGAATATTTCATTTTAATTATATCATAATATTTCAGCTCTATATTGGCCATTTTTCTGTAGAATGTTAAAGTAAGTGTGATTCATTAAAAACTCATTCGTTCATTATGAAAATGGAATAGCAATTTATATTCATTGTGAATGGACTCATTATGGGAGCAATTTGCAAATCACATGAAGTCTTTACTTTCTAAAGGAAGTCACATATATTATTCACATGGCAAGTTAATTAACCCATATTCCCTACTTTACAAATTTTGTTTTGTACAAATCTCTCAAGTTCATTTCATCTTTTACACAGAAAATTATATCATGTATATCTGCCTAGCAGAATTATAATTTAATCACTTACATAAAGTTTGAAATAAAGGTAAAAAAAATCTCAGTAGATTATATATTTTTGTTTGTTTTTGATGTAGTGTTCCATGATTCATTGTTTGCATATAACACCCAGTGCTCCATTCAGTACGTGCCCTCTGTAATACCCATCACAAGGCTAACCCAACCCCCCAGCCCCCTCCCCTCTAGAACCCTCAGTTTGTTTCTCAGAATCCATAGTCTCTCGTGGTTCGTCTCCACCTCCGATTTCCCCCCTTCATTTTTCCCTTCCTACTATCTTTTTTTTTTAACATATAAATATTATTTGTTTCAGGGGTACAGGTCTGTGATTCATCAGTCTTACACAATTCACAGTGCTCCATAGCACATACCCTCCCCAATGTCTATCACCCAGCCACCCCATCCCTCCCACATTTAAAAGTGATTTTCTTTCCCTCTCTGATTTCTGTATTTCTGCCTTGACCCTGGGAAACTGTGAAATCATCTTCTCTTTTCTTTTCTATTTTTGTACTATGCCATTTTTTAAGCTATAAAATGCAACATAGAATTCAGGCAGCATAATAAGAGCTTTAAATACACTGTTGAACCCTCTTTGGAGACATAAAATCCATCATCCAAAGAAGGTTTTATGTACTTCCTATGTAACAAGACGCATAATACTGCTTATTATCGAGAACAGACCAATCCAACTTAGTTTCCCAGGGGAAAGAAAAGAGCCCCATTTATTCCACATAGAGATGTCCGATAGAGTAAAGTCCATCATTCTTTGGCAGCTGGAACTGAGAAGCCAGAAGATGTTACTGTTAGAAGATAATTTACCAACAAAAGCTATAGCACCAGATTTCTTAGAAATGGCATCAACAGGGATTGGCAATGCCTCCAAGTGGGTGTTAGCGGGAGGCAGAGGGACAGGCTTGCTTCTGCTGCTCCTTCCCTTCCTGAGTCCACGGATCCCGCCTCAAGACAGATGACCAGTAGTCCGAATTCCCAAATGGAAAACTCTGACCTTTTAAATTTTTTACAAGGTAGTTTCACAATAAAAAATGGAGCGATTATGGCTATTTACATCGTATTTGGAAACATGATGAAAGTTTAAATGTTGGCCCCTCCCCAAAATCCTAAATGTAAAGGTGGCTTAGTAGATCCTGAACTTAAATAGTAAGGGTGTAACCTAGGGACCGTTTATAAAGATAGTGAAAGCCTTAAAATGTGAGTTAAAATGTTGCTCCATTAACATATGAATGACTGTTTATGGAGAGGGAAAAAACAATATTTGACGTCAGCCATAAATGCCTTACGCAAGCTTAGTTGATTGTCAGTATAAAATTTTTAATCATCTATAAAAAGCTAAGATCAATACCAGTGTAATTTTTCTTGGTATATATCTGCAAGTTATTGGTATACTATTCAGATCACGTTTAATTATACTTTATCGTCCTCCAAATTAAACCTACGAGGTACACATGGAGTAGGTAGGTAACAAGTTGTGCAGAAAGACTTGCTAAATGTGGAAGATAGCAATGCAAAAAATGAGGGTTTCAAGGGATCTAAGATTCTTTTTTGTTTCTCCTCAATGAAAACAAAGAAAAAAATGTAGCCAGTCTCAAACCACAAAATCCATGCAAAAAGATATCTTAATTCTATGTTCTTTAAATCACTTACCATTGTGGTAAGGACATTCCACTTCAGACATTCTAAGGACCCCCCCAGCTCACTAGCCAACCCCAGAGGCCGGGCCATTTGGAGGTGTGTTAGGATGCACCAGGGCTCTGGAAAGGTCCCTACAGCATCGTCAAACAGGCCTGCACAGCCTTCCTCCTAAATGCAAACTGCCCTGGTTCACATAGCTCCCCCTGTTCTGTCAGGGACATAGAAATAATTGCAAACACTGAGAATCCAGGGTAAGGATGTGGTAGCCCTGGAAGGACCACATGACCAATACCAGCTGAGGTCCGCCTATATATCAGGGTGATGGCCAAAAGCATTTGCTCTAACTTACTGCCAATAAAAGTCGTTTTTATGGCATCTGGCTGGAACATCATCAGTGGCCCCTGAATAAATCAGTAACTAGTCTCCAAAGATGGTCCCCACAAGAACCATGCTTGCTGATCTTCAGCCCATTGGGTAGACCTTGCATCATATTGGCTTCAACTGGGTCACACTCGCATTTCTAATCCTCACTGGCAAGAGACTAGAGTTACCATGTTTGGTGTTGGATACTCAGGATCCACCTCTTGGAGCTGGAAATGAGGTCACCATCCCCAAAAGCCCAGTCCACAGAGGAGGAGAGCAGACATCACCTGGGAGCTTGCTAGAAATGCAGATTCTCAGGACCCTCCCCATACCTGCTGAATCAGAAGGTACATTCTAGCTATATCCTCAAATTATTAGCATGCACACTGAACTTTGAGAAGTGCTGCCCTAAAGACCAATGGAAAACAGATACATGAACAAAATATGAACACAGTTTGGTGGTAGAAAAAGTAGTTGGAGGAAGTTGTCACTGGTCAGTGCCACACTGTCTACCATGCCATTCATATGCAGTAATGGTGCCTCTGATTGAGTATGAATTTTGCAATGGACAGAACGTTTATGTTCCCCCAAAATTCATGTTGAATTCCTAACCCCCAGTATGAGAGTAAGGATGCAGGGCCTCCGGGAGGTAATTTGGATACAAGGATGGAACCTTCATGAATAGAATTAGTGCCCTTATAAAAGGGACCCTAGAGAACTCTCTTGCCCTCTTTCAGCCAGGTGAGGACAAAGTAAGAAGACTGTCACTCACAAACCAGGAAAAGGGACTTCCCCAAGAAGCCAACAATGCTGGCACTCTGGTATTGGATTTCTAGGCTCCAGAGCTAGGAGAAACAAAGTTGTGCTCTTTATAAGCCACACTGTCTATGGTTCTTTGTTATAGCAGGCCAAACTAAGATAAATTTCTAAGGTGTGTGGATGTAATAAACTCTCCAGTCTTTTAGGACCAAGGGTATTATTGCTTTTCCCTTAATATTGGTGCCTTTTCATCCTGTATGGTGGTAACTGAGGGCCAACAGTATATTTGACAGCATAATAAATGAAATGAAGGGTAATTGTATTTTTTTCCCAATTGGTTATTTTGGTGATTCTTTCCCCATTAGCACACAATTCACTTTAGTCCAACTATACAAACACTTATGAGTCCTTTCTATGGCCATCACCATTCTCAGTGCTGAATATTAAACAGTGTAATGCAGAACAGTAAAGCAATTCTTTCTAAAGAGGAAATTTATGTACCATAGGAGTATGGATACTGGGCCCATTATCCTGGCATGATTTTGGAAATGTTGTTTGGATCTCTCTCTCTCCATCTGTATCTATCTATATCTAACTGTATCTAAATAACTATATCTACAGAATTCTTAGTAGAAATGATATTGAGATTATATTTATAAGACTTTAATCAACATAGTTAGAATGAATGAATAACTGTAGAAAATAAAAATGATGGTGATTATTTTGACTACAGAATAACAAACATTGATGATATGAGGATAAATTGTATTTTTAAGATATGTGTGGGATATTTTTAAAGATTTATTTATTTATTTTGGGGGGAGAGGGGCAGAGCAAGTCTTAAGCAGACTCCACTCTGAGTGCAGAGCCTGAGAAGGGGTTCCGTCTCACAACACTGAGACCATGACACTGAGATCACAACCTGAGCCAAAACCAAGAGTCTGACGTTTAACCAAATCCACCACCCAGGCACGCCAAGAAATGTGTTTTTTAAAAATCCACTTTGTACTCCTGGTCCTTGCTTTTAACAATAATAACCTGGGAGAGAAATCTCTGCTAATAAATGCAAACTCCCTTTTTGCCACCAGCATTGATAGAAGTGTTACTGATGATTGTTTTATTTTCTTCCTTTGCCCAGTTTGAATTTAAATGTAGAGGGTATGAGTTTTAGCCCACAAATTTACAAAATAGTTTTATTTTGTTAGAACTAAGCTTAATTTGTATGTTGAACACTGCACCTACTGGATGGGAGGTGCGGCATTCTGAATACACGCCCCTCAAATCCTAATCCCACATAGTCCTAACTATGAATATGTTACCTTATATGGCAAAAAGGGGACTCTGCAGATGCAGATGGGATTAAATTAAGAACCTTGAGAAAGAGATAATCTCGGATTATCCAAAGTGGGCTCAAAGTAATCACATGTGTCCTTCTAAGAGAGAAGGCAATGGGAAAATGGCAGCAGAGAGAAAAGATGCTATGAGCTTTAATGATAGAGAAAAGAACTTGGAGCCAAGTCATGTAGGTGGTCTCTAGAAGTTGAAAAAGGCAAGATTCTATCCGAAGCCTCTGAAGGAACACAGTTCTGCAGACCCATTTTTTTTAATTTTATTTTTTTTAAGATTTTTTTTTTTTTTTTTTAGGTAATCTCTACACCCAGTGTGGGGTCTGAACTCACAACTCCAAGATCAAGAGTCCCATGCTCCATGGACTGAGCCAGCCATGTGCCCCTGCAGGCCCATTTTCAACTTTTGACCTCTACAACGGTATGACAATACGCAGTTGGCTCTTGAACAACACGGGTTTGAATTACACGGGTCCATTTAAATGCAGATCTTTTTGATAAATATAGTAAATACTGTAAATGTGTTTCTTTTCCTTATGATTTTTTTTAACAGTTTCTTTTCTCTAGCTTACTTTACTGTAGGAACACAGTACATAATACATAAAACATACAAAATATGTGTTAATTGAGTGTGTTATTGGTAAGACTTCCCGATCAACAGTAGGCTATTATTAGTAAAGTTTTGGAAAGTGAAAAGTTACATGGGATTTTCAACTGTGTGGGGGGGGATCAGTGCCCCTTACCCTCACTGTAGAAGGGTCAATTGTATTTGCATTATTTTAAGTGTGTGATAATTTGTTATAGAAGAAATAGGAAATGTATATAGTACTATAAATTCAGTCTTATCAAGGAATCCTCCGCTTCCAAAGGCATATGTCAAGATCCTGGGCATCTGTTATAGTGCTAAGATGTTGGGAGAGAGAGCACCTTGTCTTCCATCATCCATCCACATGTGGCTGCTGAGCAAGTGCCCTTTCTTCTATATGCCCCTTCACCCCATATGTCCCTGTACTGCCTCAGAGGACAGAATCTGGAAGAATCCACATAGATAAGTACTCTACTACTTCCAGAGGGAGCTACATAACTTGTAGGAAAAGCCAGAATAGAGTATCATTAAAGGTCCAAAGTACAAATCTTTTTCCTTTTTTCTGCTCTCTCTCACCTTGTCATAGCATATTTTAGTTGCTATTTGATGCCAGTCTAAATAAAGAAAAATTAAAATATTAAATAATTACCATGAATTTCACTATTTCTCTTTATAGTGTGCAATGCCAGTCATAAGTGCAAATATAGGAGCATTTAACACATATGCATGATCCCTAAATGACACATCATTTGTAGCTAGAGCATATATATATATATTTTTGTTTTGTTTTGTTTTATTTTGTTTTGTTTTTGCCAGAGCGGTGGAAACTTGGCATAAAATTGCACTATTGTTTTTCTTTCACTTCTTGATATATGCACATTCTACCAACACATTATACCTTCAGGTTACTTGTAAGTAAGGAAGGATTGACAGGAAAAGGAACTATGGGTTTCCTGGTCATTTCCTCTCCTTCTACGTCATCATTCTCAGCATAGATGGTTGGCTAGTATAGGGAAGTATACAAAGTAAGAAAGGATATGTCAGGTTTCTTGCTTGAGATCATTCCTGTTTTTTAGAGTACAATTGCCTTCTTTCTACATTTGAACTGAGTTCTGGCTCTGATGGGGAGCATGGACTTCCAGGGCTGTCAGTGTCCCTGATCACTCAGTAACACACTTAACTCACTTTGAGTCCACTGGAATGCTGAGCTCAGGCAGCATTGCAAAATGGTCCTCTGCTCATGTGCATGCTCCTTTTTCCCATCAGACTTCACTTACAAAACACAAATTCAAAGATAAAATCACTAAGGTTTTCAAGAGGTAGCAGCAGAGCATTAAGTCAAGCATGTGGCCCTTCTGAGAGGCTACTTCCTCTCTGGACTCACATCCTCGCTCGTATTTCTTGTCCAGGATGTTGGGTTTAAGGATCCTTTATTTCATTACTTCCTGTTCCCCAAATCTAGAGAAATCTTTATCTAGTTTTGGGTTGGAAGGAAATCTTGCCCCTTTATTTTTTCCTAAAACTTGTGTCTATGCCCCAAATCCTCTCCGTTCCCCTATGGGCTAAGACATCTGCACAGCCCTAAGAAGCACACAGGCTTTTTATTTCCTTGTCCCTGTCCCTATTCCTCATTCATTTCCAGGATGGCCACCGCAAAGCTTTTTGGAATCTTCTCTGTGTTTTCTGGATCCTCACTTCCTCTCAAAGTATGTCTGGACTTACCCTATTTTCTAGGTAAGTGACTGATAAACGTTACTTAGCCTAACCCAGCTTTTTCAGTGGGGTCTGGGGTCCTCAACATTTTGTTTCTGGTTGCAAGTCAGTAGCCAGGCTGTATTCCTAGGACTAGAAAGGGTGTGTTAAGTCCTCCAAGTGTGAAAAGACTCTGGAAATCTCTTTAAGGAATTTTGCTCTTCAAGGCTAACGCATTATGGTTAAATAGAACTGTGTGGGTCAGAGTAAGCTGGTTTTATGAGGCATTGAAAATTGTTATTTATCTCTAATTTTGCAATAAAATATGACTGGCACCACATAAATTCCATTTCTTTTCCAACACACATTCTTATAAAAACTCAATAAAATTGTTTTTTATTGAGAAGAACAGATTTTGATATTTCTTTTAGCTTCCTCAATAAGTTGCCAGATTTCTTTTAAACATAAATTACATGGACACAGTTAATTATATGCTTAAATGCAAATGTATTTAAAATATTTTTTTATTACCGTCTAAGTAATTACTCAGAGGCAATGTGAAAAACATATGTAATTTCATAGACTGAAGATATTTTTATTTTAAGATTTTCTGCCTTGAGGAAGGAAACTGGCATAAACTACTGAAGAACGATTTCTCTCCTAAAAACTTTATTGGAGTGCTTATGCAGATTAAAAAAGAAAATTCCTCCATGTGAATGTATATGTGTTTAGGTGGATGGAGTGACCTTTAAAATAATTTGTAATCATTTGTTTATATAATCATGGTTCAAAGATGGACTGGCAAAGCGGAAACCAGTTTAATTGCCTTTCTCTCCTATATTATCTCATCAAAGTCAAATTCTCACAGCCTGACTCTTCCAAGTAAGAGCAAATTACTTTACATTTACAGCCCTACTTTTTTCCTTATCAAAATCCTACCCGGGAGCATATCACATCAAGAAGAAAAGGAAAACACAATTTTTAGATTACAAGAACAAGGACGATTGGCAGAAAGTTGTGTGTTTATAAAGGCTGTTGCATTAGGCCACTGCAGAGGGCACTATTTACTTTGCACTCTGCGTCAGGCAGCACAGTGACCCTGGTGTTCACTTTCCTGTCATTTCTTAATTTTTTTTTATTATTTCCAATTTTAGAACAGAGGTTAGGAACATGGTGACTGTTCAGTTTTGAATCTTCCCACTTCTCCTGGAAACCAAATAGAGTAAAAAGGAGAACAAAAATAAAGCCATGAAATACATCCTTGGTAAAAGTAGAAGACAGAGAAAAATCCACAAACTCCAAATTATGTATAAATGTGGCCAAAAGAAACTGAGATCAGCAAGTCCTGTGCAGGAAGCTGCCAGAATGAGTGGGGAAGAACAGGGAGTATAGAGGAAGGCTTTTGGTATCAAATGTTAAAGAGCAACAAATATCCCATCCTGAGTAAAACCAATTTGAACAGAAATTAAATATATCAGGGCATAATTACTGGAGAAGGTGGAGAAAGTCATAAAAATTATGAGAGGAACACAGAAGAGGCAAATCTCAAAAAAATCCCTCCTTTTGAAAAAGAGGAGGAATGTGTTAGAAGACAGACTGTCTCCTGGTATCAGCAGCCAGTGGAGGATCCTAGGAAGTTCAGGGTTAATGACAGAGGATTCTGGAATCCAGGTAGGCTCTCAGAGTCAGAGGAAAACTACACAGAGAACCCTATTATCAAGAAATGGTCCATCATGGTAGCAACAAAGGAGCAAGCAGAAAAACCTTGGAAACTCACCTGTCCCACTGCCCACCCCCACATACCACATGTTGAGGTACCTTCTGCATAATAGCTAGTCTAAGACAATTTGAGCTATTTTAATTTGGTAATAACAAAAAGAATAAATAGACTTTTGGTTTCAGCTCTGACATGTAAAGGGCTCAGAAATCATCATTCTGTCTTTACAAGAAAAAAGCTGAACAAACTGAAAATCAGTTTATAAGTTGTGACTTTTTTGGATCTGTCAGAGAACTGAGATTGCAGGGCAAGCTACGACCAAGAAATCTGAGGAAATGGGTGAATCTAGAGAATCATAGCCAAGATCTTCTTACCAGGAGCAGAAGCTGCTAGAGCCAGAATCTAGTAGGAATACATAAATAGTAATTTTGATGAATAGCTGAAGGCTGAGTAGCTTGAGGCTAGGTTGAGAATGAGAAAGTCTTGGGGACCTTCAGTCTTAGGGGACCCTTGCCCTTTTGTAAGTTTTGCCTCCAGGAACTCCATCAAGTTCTTACTTGAAAATCCAAGAAGTGAAGTAAAGATCCAAGAAGGAACCACTCATGATTCTGGAAAAAGGAAGGAGGAAGGGGGTTGGGGAGTAACAATTGTGAAATATACCAAAGCATTCTCCATAACAAAGCCCTATTCTCCAGTGGAAAATATATTACCAGATCTTTATCTCACCCTGGGGAAGGGCATTCTTTGACTCTATCCCCTTCTAGTTTAACTGTGTCAACTAAATGAGGTAAGGGGCATATGGGGAATTGAGGAGCTAAAAAACAGTTGAGAAGGTCAAAGTCAATGGACACGGGCTCACTAAAGAATGAGATAAAATCATAAGATTATAGAATGCTTCTCTTCACCCACACCTTACCACAACACCAACAGGATACCAGTATGGATTACAACTAAAGCAGCTACAAGATGCACTCCAGGGAGGAGTTCTTAGAGAAACCCAAAGACAACAGGGAAACAAAAACAAGGACACTAGAGGAATTTGATAACTTTGGCAGGTACAACTTCAGTAGACATGAAAATAGCCCAGCTCCTAGCCAGGTTAACATAAAACCTCCCACTAAAAATCAACTTACCTCTGTTCCTACTAATACATTATGTCTGGCTTTCAACAAAAGATTACAAAGCATGCTAAGAGGCAAGAGAAAACAGTCTGAGACAAAGCAAGTGTCAGAACAGGACTTAGACATGTCATGACTTTAGAATTATCAGAGAATTTAAGATAGATATGATTAGTATATTACAGACTCTAACTGGAAAAAGCAGACAATATGCAAGATCAGACAGATAATGTAATCAGAGAGATGGAAATGTTAAGAAAGAATCAAAAGGAAAGACTAGAAATCAAAGGCTCCATGACAGAAATAAAGAATGCAGATTGTCTTTGATGGGCATATCAGTAAATTGTATCTGGCGAAGAAAACAATTAGTGAGCCTGAAGATAGGTCAACAGAAACTTCTCAAACTGAAATGCAAAGAGGAAAAAAAGAATGAAAAGAAAGAAAGAAAGCCCCAAACATCTAAGAATTGTGGGACAATTTACAAAGTTATAACATAATTGTGATTAGACTACCAGAAGAAGTGAGAAGGTGGGGCAAAAGAAATTTTTGAAGGAATAATGGATGAAAATTTTCCAAAATTAATGACAAATGCCAAACCACAGATTCAGGAAACTCAGAGACTATCAGGCAGGATAAATATAAAAATATTTATACCTATATACATATCATATTCAAAGTAAAAAGAGAGGGAGAATGAGAGAGATAGAGAGAGAGAAAAACTTGAAAGAAGTCAGGTAAATGAAACACTTTACCTATGGAAGAAAAGGATAAGCATAGCAGACCGCTCATCAGAAACCATGCAAACAAGGGAGTAGAATATTTAGTGATGAAAGAAAAATCCACCAACTTAGAATTCTATAATCAGTAAAATTATCCTTCAAAAGAGAAGGAGAGGGGTGCCTAGCTGGCAGGGAAGGAAGAGCATGAAACTCTTGATCTCAGGGTTATGAGTTTGAGCCCCATGTTGGATGTAGAGATTTCTAAAAATATAAATACATAAACTTAAAAAAAAAGAAGGAGAAATGAAGTCTCTCTCAGATAAATAAAAACCGACCTGCTCTAAGAGAAATATTAAAAGAAGTTCTTCAGAGAGAAGAAAATTACATTGGTCAGACATTCAGATCTTTATATAAGAAGACAGATCATCAGAGAACAAATAAATGAAGGTAAAAATCTTTTGTTTTTCTTCTTCTTAATTGATATAATAAATGTTTATTCAAAGTAATAATAGTAACAACATATTGAATGAATGAAGGGACACATTGAGTAAAATGAATGAAAATAAATGTATAAGGTATGAGAGGGAGGAATTGGGAATATTTGTTACACGGTACCTCCTCTACTCAAGAAGTGGTATAGTTTTATTTGAAAGTAAACTTAGATTCATTGTAAATATATTTTATATCTAGGACAATCATTGAAAATTTTAAAGTATAATTGATATGGTAAGAGAGAATATAACATTAAATCATATAAAATGCTCAATTCAAACAGGGTGGGGATGTGGAGAAGTAAAGAACAAGTTCAACAAATAGAAAGTAGTTACAAACATAGTAATCCAACTATATTAATAATCTCTTTAAATGTGAATGGTATAAATATATCAATTAAAAGACAGAGGTTGTAAGAGCAGTTTAAAAAAATAAAACCCAACTATATGTTATCCACAAGAAACTCATTTAAATATAAAGACTCACACAGGTTAAAAGTAAAGTGATAGAAAAAGATATACTATACTAACACTAATCAAAAGTTGGAGTGGCTGTATTAATTTCAGACAAAGTAGACTTCGGAACAAGAAAAATGTTCATGGATAAAGAAGAGCATTACACAATGATAAAAGGATCAATTCTCCAAAAAAATGTAATAATCAACAGTCTAAAGAAGAAAAGTAATACAATTTTATCAACTGATGTTGAAAAGCATTTGAGAAAATCCAGCACTCATTCATGATAAAAATTCTCATCAAACTAGGAATAGGAGAACTTTCTCAACCTGATATGATAAAGAACATCTATAAAAATCCTGCAGCTAAGATCACACTTAGTGAGAAACTGAAATGGTTTCCCCAACAACTGGAAAAAGGAAAGGTTGTCCTCTCTCGCAACTTCTATTCAACATCATACTCAAAGTCCTAACTACAATAAGACAATAAAAGGAAATAAAGATATAAAGATTGGGAAGGAAGAAATATATATGTTCTTGTT